TAGCCCTTCCTTTCCTGTCTGGACCTCCCTACATCCTGTCCACAGAACTTCATGCATTGTCATATATCTTAAGGCCTATTGAGTCAAGGTTATATACCCAGATGTTCCCTCGGTGTGAGTTCATCCACTGGAGCCTATTCAGCCTGTCTATCATCACTCTCTTAAAGAAGATGAATTCTCCCTCACCTGGCAGTGATCAGCTGCCAATAGTTCCTCACCAAAGTTGTGGCCTCCTGCCCATTTCCCCAGTTCTATGCTGGTTTTTGTCTTACTGCGTTTGCATGGGTCTTGGGCATGCTATCACCATTGTTGTAACTTCACATGAGCAAGGTTTACTTCTGTTTTATGTATGCGAATGTTCTGCCTGCTTTGCCCTTATCTAAGTGCACCACATACGCCTAGTGTCGGCAGAGGATCCCCTGGAACTAGGGTTACAGATCATTGTTGGCTGCTGGGAACCAATCCCAGGTCCTCTGCAGAAACAGCCAGTGCTCTTAACCTCTGAACCATCTCTCCAGCCCCAGTAAATTCTATTTTTTAAAAGCAAACAAAGTTGAGGGTTTGCAGAAATTGGAAACCTCATAAATCACTGGTGAGAATGTAAAATGTACAACTATTGTGGAAACAGTTTGGCGAGTTCTTTAAAATGTTACACATGGGCTGGAGAGGTGGCTCAGCAGTTAAGAACTTTGGCTGCTCTTGCAGACCTGTGTTCAAATCCCAGTACCCACATGGTAGCTAACAACCCTCCATAACTCCAGTTCCAAGGGATCTGATGCCCTCTTCTGTTCTCTGTGGGCACTGCATGACACGGGTGTACTTACATGCAGGCAGAAGATTCATACACATAAAGTACAAATAAATGTATTAAAAAAATTTTAATGTTAAACATAAAATTACCACATGACCCAGAAATTCCACTCCAAAGTGTATTAGCAAGAAAACTGAAAACATTGTCTGCATAAAAACTTCGACATGAATGTTCATTAGCAATGTTGTTAAAAATAGCTCCAAAGTAGAAACTCAAATGTTCATCAGCTAATGAATAAACAAAATTTTGATATATCCACATTATGGACCAAATTGTGTGCCCTCTAAAATTCATGTGTTGAAGCTAACCTTCAGTGTACCTGTATTTGAAGACAGGACATTTATGGAGGTGATTAAGGTTAAGTGAGCCATGGGGTAGCACCCTAGACAGTAGAATGGCTGTCCTTAGAAGAGGAAGAGACACTAGAGCTCTGTCTTTCTACACATGCACAGAAATAGGGCCACATGAGGACTAAGCGAGGAGGCCACCACAAGCCAGAAAGAGAAGCCTTACAAGAGCCCAGCCCTGATGGCAACTTGATCTTGGACCCCAGAACTGTGAGAAAATGTCTACTGTGTAAGCCACCCAGCCTCATATTTTATTAAAGCAGCCCTGGCAGACTAATATACCATGCAGTAGAATATTATTCATCCATAAAAAGGAATTAAGTACTGAAACATATAGTACAATACAACATGGACAAACCCTGAAAATATGCTAAATGAGACACACAAAAGGCCACATACTTATAACTTACTTCACATAATACCTGTAGCAGACAAAACCAGAGACACAGTCATTTAGTGGTTGCCAGGGAATGGAGGAAGAAGGGAATTGGGCAGTATTTCTTTATGGAGTAATGAAAATTTTCTGAAATAACATTGATGATTGCACATTATGTGCTGAAAACTGGTGAGTTATGTACTTTGAAATTGTTCACAAGTCTTGCTTTATTACAATGAACTTGTACAACCCTCAAGCATGGGGGTAGAGAGATGGCTCCTTGGGTAAGAGCACTGGCTACCCTTCAAAGGATCCAGGTTCAGTTCCCAGCACCTACATGGGGACTAACTCCAGTTCCAGGGAATCCTATGCCTTTTTCTGGCTTCTACAGGCATTGTACACGTGTGGTGAACTTAACATCCATTGCAGGCAAAACTATTCATACACATATGTTAAAACAAACTAAAAAAGGAGGGAAAAAGTTTAGTCTGGGTGCTAGAGAGGTGGTTCAGTGGTTAAGTGCACTCGCTGCTCTTGCAGAGGCCCAAGGTTCAGTTCCTAGTTCCCATATGGCAACTAACAACCACCTGTTATTCCAGGTCCAACACCTCCTTCTGGCTTCTGGAGGCATTGCACACATGTGGCAGATACACTTATATCAGGCCAAATATTCATACACATGGTGGCACATGCCTTTAATCCCAGCACTCAGGAGGCAGAGGCAGGTGGATCTCTGCAAGTTCAAGTCCAGCCTGGTCTACATAGTGAGTTCCAGGCCAGCTGGGGCTACAGGGAGGCCCTGTCTCAAAAAGACGAAAAAAAAAAAAAAGATTTTTGGGGCTGAAGAGATAGGTCAGTGGTTAAAAGCACTGGCTGCTCTTGCAGAAGATGGAGGTTCGAGTCTCAGCACCCACATGGCAGCCAACAAGCATCTATAAGTCCAGTTCTAGGGGATCTGGTGTCCTGTCCTCTATGGGCACTGCATGACATGCATGTACTTACATACATGCAGGTAATACTCATACACACAAAATTAAACTTTAAAATAAATTTTAAATATTTAAAAACTTCTAGCATAATGTCCTTTAACATTCTTTGTATACATATCTGCTAGTGATTATGTAGCTATGAAATTTTATATTGCTTTTTGGTGGGGGTCTTTTTGAGACAGGGTCTCCCTGTAGCCCCAGCTGTCCTGGAACTATGTAGACTAGGATCTGCCTGCCTCTGCCTCCCAAGTGCTGGGATTAAAGGCGTGCACCACCACACCTGGCTTTTTTTTTTTTTAATTTTTTAAAAATTTATTTTCATTATTTTTTAATGTGTATGAGTGTATTGCCTGAATGTATGTAAGTGCACCCTGTGTCATGCAAAACCCATGGTAGTCAAAAGAGTGCCATGGGATCCCCTGAAACTGGAGTTAAGGATGGTTGTTAGCCTCCTTATAGGTGCTGGGATTTGAACCCAGGTCCTCTCAAAGAGCATCTACTGCTCTTGACTGCTGAGCTTTCCAGCTCCTTCACAATACTACTTTATGAGTTCTGTATCAGCACTTTACCCATAATACTTTAAAGATATCCTCTATGGTCTTCTCCTTTGCATTATTTTTGACAAGAAGCTTGATGTCACCTTGTCCCTGTGTGTTTTTCATCTCTGGCTGTTCTGGGTTTTGTTTTTGTTTTTGAGACAAGGTCTTACTATGTAGCCCTGGCTGGTCTGTAACTCATTATATAAATCAAGCTGGCCTCAAACTCTCAGAGGTCTAACTGTCTCTGCCTCCCAACTGCTGGAATGAAAGGCTGCTTTCAGTATTTTCTCCTTATTACTGGTTTCAAGCAATTTGATGATAGGTCTTGATGTCATTTTCTTCACATTTCTTCTGCATTGAATTGTGCATGCTAGGCAAGCAGTCTACCAATCAGCTATAGCCTTATAACTTTTATTACATCTTTATTTATTGTGTGACCATGTGTGGACATGCATGCCCCGTGGCATTCGTGTGATGAGAGGTCAACTTGAACAAGTCAGTTCTCTTCCACTATGTGGACCCCAGGGATGGAACTCAGGTCATCAGACTTGGCAGCAAGTCATGAGGCAAGTCCTGAAAGTTGTCCTCTGACTTCCAAGTGCGCACTGTCAAACTCACATGCCCCCACACATACATAAATAAATGTAATAAATTTTTTTTAATCTCATTACTTTAAAAATACTAAAATATGAGCCAGGTGTGGTGGCATGTGTCTTTAATTCCAGCATTCAGGAGGCAGAGGCAGGCAGATCTCCATGAGATCCAGGCCAGCCTGGTCTACATAGTAAGTTCCAGGCCAGCTGGGGCTAGAGGGAGACTGTCTCAAAACAAACCAGTGAACCTAAAGTGGAGTTTGGCAGTTCTAACAATACTATGAACACTTTTGAATGTTTATCCTCATACATATGTACAAAGGTTTCTGTGTTGTGTACCAAGGAGTGAAACTGGTAGGTCAGAGTTCACTAGACAACACCAAATTATCCAAAGTGACGGTACCAGTCTATATGCCCACTACCAGGACATGAGTTCCTATGTGCAGTCTCATCAACAGTGTCTTCAAGTTTAAGCTGCTGTTCATCTATAAAGGGCATTTTTGTGCTTTTATTTATATTCATTTTTTAAATTAAGGTAAAGTTTGCACACTTTTTTTTGGTGTTCAGTACATATTTTCTCTTTCCTTATTTCTTTTAATTCAGGATAATTTCTTCAGATTTCCCCCCCTAGTTCACTATTTTTACTTTAACCTTCTGCTGAAGCTTAAAATTTTAGTTTAGGGGGTTTTATGTATTTTTTTTTTTTTTAAAACTGCTTTGTTGTTTTTATGATTTTCACAATTACTGTCCTTTTAAGGAAAAAATATTTTTTTGCACTCTGCATCTGTTCATCCCAGTCTCTGAAATCTTAGCAGAACTGATTTCATTACTGTGTGTTCCTTTTCAAGGTACCTGGTTTCCTTATAGCCCATGTGATTTTCAAGTGGTTTCTAGCTGCAGTAACTGTGGGAATTGTAGTCAGAATTAATGCTCTGCAGGCAGTCCTGGAGTTAAACTTTCCAATACAGTAGTCACTAGCAGTATGTGGCTATTTAACTTTAAAAATTCAGTTCCTGGGTTACAGTAGCAAGATTCTAAGTGTGCTATAGTGTTCAGTGTGGCACCACATTGAACAGCACTGATGTAAAACATTTCCATCAACTCCAAAGGTTCTGTCACAGATCTCTGCTTTTTCTTCTGCTGGGGACCTCCAGCCATCTCCAGCCTGGAAACCACTATCAACTGAGCTGCAATGTGAAAAGTTTTTGGAATCATGCAGGTAGTATGAAATTGGCTGCAAAGATGAGTGAAGCTTTGCCTGAGATTACAGTTGTCAGGGACTATTCTCACTGTACTGTTGCTGTAGGTCAGAAGCTATATGGTAACACTCTGTTCCTTTACTCAGATGATGAGAGCAATGCTGAAATTACCAGATTGGATTCGGGAAGTCCCTATATGCCAAATGACCCTCATCCTTTGATCTTACCTCAAGTACCGCAGTCAAAGGTGCTGTCTATCACCTCAAATCTGGTAAGCCCAGAGGGGATGTGTGTGAGAACCCAGGACTGTTCTTGCCAGAGGACATTTACTTGGGGCTGTTTGCCTTGATTATATTATTTCTTGCTCAGCATTGAGTACAGCTCTATGTTTATCACGATAATCCAGGGAGCGCCCTCACAAGATGGCTTAGTGGGTAAAAGCATTTCCAAGCCTGATGTCTTGAGTTTGATCTCTGGGATCCACATAAAGGTAGGAGAACCCTATTTCACAAGGTCATCCCTTGACCTCCACATGTGCACTACCCCCCATTATACACACACTAATAAAATTACAAAAAAAATTTAAAAGGAAATAGGGACAGTGAGATGGCTCAGTGGAAAGAACTTGCCACACAAGCCTGGAAACCTGAGTTTGATTTCTGAAACCAAAGTAGTTAGAAAGAACCAACTCCACAAAGTTGTCCTCTAACTTCTATACTTGGTGTACACACACACACACAAGTAAATTTCAGAAATTAAAAAATAGCAAATTAGAGTTGATAAGATGGGTTTGATGGCTAATGCCTGTAACCCCAGCATGTGGGAGGCTGAGGCACTGGTGTGAGTTTTGAGGTCAGCTGTGGCTACAGAGTTTATAGTGCAATATGCTATCTCAAAAAAAATCTAAATAACTAGGGTTGATAGGTAATTCTTAGCTCTTTTAAAGACTATCAGTTTCAGTTGTATAATCTACAATACGGTCAGTCCAAGTCCATTTACAATCTAGAATCAATTGTGTGGTCAGCCTAAGTCTGTTTTGGAAAGAAGTAGGATAACCTTGGGAAGAGCAACTGTTCTTAGATTTTTTTGTGGCCTTAATATTTTGTCCTCTGAACCACTCTTCCTTTTTCATTCTTTTTCTTTTTTCTCTAAACCTACTGTTCCTTAATATTTAAAGCCAATATATAAAAGGCAAGCCAAAGAAAAACTGCCTTAATATTTTATTGTGGTGCTAAGGATTGAATGCATGGCCCTACACATGCTAGGCAAGTGTTCTACCACTAAGCTACACCCAAGCCTCTCAAATACAGCTCTGAACAAAGACAAAAGATGGCTATTTCCTGTAGAATGCTGATGAACTTGATCTCATTCTTATGTAGCCCTGATTATTACAAGCTAGCTTTCTAGCATTACCTATGGCAAAGCAAACAAAAAGGAGATATGAGGGAGAATTTCGGCTCCAACCCTTGAGCCATAACCATCAACCCTCACTTGACCACCAGATTGTCATACCAGATATTAATGCAGCTGGGTTTACAGCAGGAGTATTAAAAAATAAAACCAGCAAGTCTCATAACAACTTATCAGAGGATGAACCAAGAAAACTACTGTTCCCTTTGGTGGTCATCTAGCACTCTGACCTCGTTTAGCTATGGTTTAGATGACCTTATCTCTGAATGGTTAACCAGGTGGTTCTAGTTGTTAATGACCAAAGGAAGGGGGTCAGTTCAACTTTCAAATTTTTCTTTATTTTAAAGATATTTTTCGCCAGGTGTGGTGGCACATGCCTTTAATCCCAGCACTCGGGAGGCAGAGGCAGGTGGATCTCTGTGAGTTCAAGGCCAGCCTGGTCTACATAGTGAGTTCCAGAACAGCTGGGGCTGCAGGGAGACCTTGTCTCAAAAAGACCAAAAAAAAATTTTTTTAATTAATTTTAATTGTATGAGTATCTGCATGTGGGTATGTGCACATGAGTGCAGGTGTTCACAGAGGCCAGAGGTGTCAGATCCCCCTTGAGCTGGAGTTATAGGCGGTTGTGAACTCCTTGACATGGGCACTGAGACTCAAATTTGGGTCCTCTGAATAGCAGGAAGCTCTCTTAACCACAGAGCCATCTTTCCAGTCTCTGTATTTAGTTATTTTGAGAGATCTCACTGTGTAGCCTAGGCTGGCACTGAATTCAGGATTCATTGAATTCAGGAGTCTCCTGCCTCAGCTTTCCAAGTGCTGCGATTACAAGTGTGTGTTACCACACCTGGCTAGTTCAAAGACCGCTTGAAAAGGAAGGAAAGTATTCTATGGCAGAGAAAGAGAAGAGATTCAAAGGGCAGTGAGTACAAGCAGACACTAGGGTGGCACTGCCAGTCCAAGTAAATCTTGATAACATTAGAACAAGTAAGATTAATTCCTTATAAACAGTCTTTGGGAGGTTAGTGAGATGACTCACTGGGTGAAGGTGCTTACCACCAAGCCTGACCCAACTTGAGTTCAATTTCCAGAACTCACATGGTAGGAATATAGAGTTGACTCCTGCAAGTTATCCTGTGACCTCCATCCTTGGGCTGTAGCATGCATGCCTCCCCTCTAATTAAAAAAAAAAATGTAATTTTTAAAAGTCTTTGGATTTAGATTTTTTAAAACTGAGTTTGGTAAGGCATGTATCTGTAGTTGCAACCACTCAGGAGGTTGAGACAGGAAGATTACTTAGGCCCCTCACTCAAGACCAGCCTGGGAAACATAGGGAGACCCTATCTCAAAGCAAAATAACTGTATCACCGAGAGCCAACTGCTCTAGGGTAATGAAAGGGGTATATGTGTGCCAAGTTCAGAATTGTGTGGTGATGAAAGACATCAGTTAGTTTACACTTTTTTTTTTCTATTTCAAAATTTGTGAGTTGTTTTCTCTTGTCAACAGTGATAATGGTCCTCTCTGCCCTGTGAGAATGACCATGAACTGCTTATATCTGTGTTGGCCAGCCATTCCCAATCAGTTATCACCTAAAAATACATAGAAAGTAAAAGGCTCCTGGCTCTCTTGACAGTGCTCTTTGGGGCCTCATTTAGGGCTACTGGTCAACTGTTCTAAAAGTTAAGATGTGAGGGAGAAGTGTTTAAGTAACCTAAATGGAAATACTAACTTCTGCAAATCTGGCAAATTAAGCACATCTCTTCATCAACCAATATCTTCTTTTGATACACAGATGAGTTTCTGTCAAGCAAGTGGTCATCAGACAAATGCAAATGGTCTCTTGGTTCATGGGATGCCTCTACAGCCAAGGAATTGTTCCCTGATGGATAAACTCCTGTAAGAAGCCCAAGTTTTAATATACTATAGAGTTTAAGTAGAATGCTGAGAAGTACAAGAGAGCAGAGTCAGCCAACCAACATACTTTGTTGAATGACACACACACCTGGAGAGTAAAACACTTGAGGGATGTAGTCTCTATTCCCAGGTATCTGATAACGGAAAAACACCTGGGCCCTAGACATATACAGCACTTTTGTGACAGAGGGCCAAGTTAAGTGCTGGCCCCAAAGGAGAAGGCACTTTGGTAAGTGTCAGTGCGGGGTGACAGAAGAGCAACAAGGCCATTCTGCATAGGGAGAATTGATCCACATAATGGAAGGAGAAAACCCACTCTGGCCTCCACATGTGCGAATCCCCCTCACCACCACCCAGACACACAATTTTTTTTTTTTTTTGAGAAAGGGTCTCATTATATAGCCCTGGCTGGCCTGGAACTATGTAGATCAGGCTAGCCTTGAACTCGAGAGCCACCTGCCTTCTGAGTGCTAGGATTAAAGGCATGTGTCACTACAACTGAACCAGTGTTGTTTTTTTTTTAATATTTATTTTTATTTTATGTGTATGAGTGTATTGTCTGCATGTATGTGAGTGCACCTGTGTCATGCAATGCCACGGAGGTCAGAAGAGGGCTTCGGATTCCCCTGGAACTGGAGTTAAGGGGTTCATAGCCATGTGGTGCTGGGAATCAAATCTGGGCCCTCTGCAAGAGCAGTCAGTGCTCTTAACCACTGAGCCAGCTCTCCAGCCCCCAGTGGCCTCTTTAAGAATAGATTATTAATCAATAAACATGAGTAGTCATAGCACTTGGAAGGCTAGGGCAGGATCTTGCATTCAGGCCTAGCCGAGGCCATATAGAAGACCCTGTATCTTTTTTTTGGGGTGGGGGGTTCTTTTTGAGTCAGGGTCTCCCAGTAGCCCCAGCTGTCCTGGAACTATGTAGACCAGGCTGGCCTTGAACGCACATAGATCTACCTGCCTCTGCCTGAGATTAAAGGCATGCACCACCATGCCCGGCCCTGTATCTTTAAACAAAACCCATTACTGAACTCTAGATTCATGAAGACTATCTTACTTACTGAAACATATTCTGTTTTTGCTGCATTCTTCTCTGAATGTTTTAGGTTAAGGCTTTTCCACTTGAGTCTTGTCTTCCTGTACATGGTGATTTTTACTTCATTGTGGGTTTCTGATTTGACCACTAGAGATCTTGATGACAAGCTACTTATGAGGCCTGGGTCCAGTTCCATCCTTTCAAACCGAAATTGGCCAAATCGAACCCTGGAGCTTAGTACTTCATATTTGTCATATACAGTACAGTCTGCCAGGAGACGCAACCCTCCACCACGTACCCTTCATCCGATCAGCACAAGTCATTCACGCGCTGGAACACCATGGCCTGCAGAAGAAATCCTCAGAGGATCCAGAGTGTAGGTTTCAAAAGCAGAATTTCTGGAAACTGGTAAAACTAGTGAATATTACAGAGAATGAATTTAAATATAAGATTGAAATTATGCCTAGAATCATTTAAGTATTCACACAAAGAACTGTTCATGGCTTTAATCCAATACAAAATTTTTTTTTAATTTTAATAAAACACAAATATAAATCATTCTGTTGATTCAGCTAGATTTATAGTTTAAAAAGAAAGAAAATAAAAACAAGAATAAAAAACGGCCCAGGGCCAGTGAGATGGCCCAGTGAGTAAAGGTGCTTGCCACCAAGCCTGACAATGAGTTCAATCCCTGGGACCCACATGGTGGAAGGAGAAAACCAATTCCTGAAAGCTGCCCTCTGACCCGTACATATACATAATACACACAAAATGTAATTTTAAAAATCCTGATTTTCTAAAATACCTTGAGACCCTTAAAGCTTTCTATGCACATTAAACTTATCTGCTTCATTTACTAGATTTTGAATCAATTTGCTTTCATTGTTACTTTCTTTTTGCATCTTAATTTTGTTGATGGGATCTGCAGCCCAGTGACAGCTGACATTCTCTCTTCTCCCGCACCAATGACCCTGAGTCGAAATAATTTGCTGCCACCTATTGGCACAGCTGAAGTGGAACATCTGAGCACTGTGGGTTCCCAAAGGCAAACAGTGAGTCTTTCATATTGTTTTCCCACATGCTTATTATAAAACTTCATGGGTTTTATAGTAGTTCTGTAGTTGCACTGATCATAATTTATACTCTGTTCTCTCAAAAGTACAAATGGAGTTCAATTTATGACTGTTGAATTGAGCTGCTTGGCCCACCATCTGTCAGGAGATATGTGGGGTACAGGCAGGTCCCACCACATTTCAGTCTCTGTATTGTCTGTCTCCTGCAGAAATCCCACAGTGATTCTAGTCGAGCCCGAAGTGCAGTGGTGGATGAGCCTAACCAGCAGCCCCAAGAGAGGCTCCTTTTACCTGTCTTCTCTAGACCCAACACAACTCAGTCATTTTTGGTACAGTGAAATGCTTCCTATTTGGTGGGGTTTTTTTTAGGGGGGGGGAGGGTCGGTGTTGAGACAGGATCTCACATATCCCATGCTGGCCTTGAACTCATCCTTCTGCCTCCGTCTCCTGAGTGCTGGGATTACAGGTGTGTACCACCATTCCCAGCTCCTATATGTTCTTGATAGTTGGGGAAAGGACCAGGAGAAAAAAATATCAGTGTGACAAACTTAAAATATTGTCTAGTGGCTTAACTATTAAAAAAACACCATCCTAATGTTTTCTTAAAATTCCAAGTGGCTCCTCCTGTTTTGTTAGTAAAATGCCTTATGCATAAATTATAAATCCTTAATTTATTCTGAGCATAAGCAAGCACACTAAACTCTAATGCATATCTAATTAGCCTAATTTTACTGTCTACCCTGCTCTTGTGGACTTATACCAAAAAGTGGTGTCAGATTGAGGACTGGTGGGTGCTGAGTTAGCACTTCTTCCCACTGTTTTTTTTTAATACTATTTTTATTTTTTATGTGTATATTACCTGCATGTATATTTAAGTGTACACATGTCATGCAATGCCCAAGGAGATCAGAAGAGGGCCTGGAACTGGAGTTACAGGCAGTTCTTAGCCCCCATATGGGTGCTGGGAATGGAACCCAGGTCCTCTGCAAGAGTAGCAAGTGCTCTTAACTGCTGAGCCATCTCTCTAGCCCCTCCCAATGATGTTTTAAATGCTGACACTTGTCACACTGTGCTCTTCGTTTTTTTTTTTCTTGCCCCTTTACTTTTAAGCAAGTGTTCTGAAAAAATCCTGAAGCCTATGGGCCACATATTGACCTTACCCATCCATAAATCAGTACATGCTCCCCCACTTGCTTTGTGGCAAGACAGCTTGCAAGATTGTGGCAAGAGGACTTGTAAGAGGCCAGGGAAATAACTGAGGTCACACTTAATACTCCACCAGAAGACTCCATGTCCTCTACCAGTTTTCAGGATGGTGGTTTTGTAGCCCATACATCCCAACTCATGACCCCTGTACCATCTTCTGCAAACAATGGTAGGAGCATATATCTGTATGTTTTCCAGGGCTCCCATAACAAATGACCATAAACCAGGTGACATAAAACAACAGAAATGTGTTATTCTCACAGTCCCAGAAGCTGGATGCTCCCTGTGCAGGCTCTAGAAGAATCTTTCTTCTCTCTTCCCAGCTTCTGGTGCAGTTGCCTGCAGTGCTTGGTGTTCCTCCCTAGCGCTAGGGAGGCAGAGTCAGGTGGATTCCTGGGGCTTGCAGGCCACATAGCCTAGCCTAATATGTAAGCTCCAGGTCACTGTGAAAGACCCTGTCTCCAAAAACAAGGTGGACATCTCCTGAGAACAATACCCAAAACAAGCGCACACATGCACATGCATACTCATATAGCACATATATAAGTAAAAACTCTGATCCAGTCTGATTTCATCTTAACTTTACATATACAAAGACACTATTTCCAAAAATAGTCACATTCAATATTCCAGGCTGACATGGATTTGGGGGGCACTATTCAACCCAGTGGACTTCATGAGACCTGAGGAAAATCACTGAAAAGTCCAAAAAGAAAACAGGAGTCCAAAAAGGAGTCCTTTCTGATTCTGGGGCTGAAGAGATGGCTTAGTGGTTAAAAGCACTGACTGCTCTTGCAGAGAACCCAGGTTCAATTCCCACAACCACATGGTGGCTAACAGTTGCCCTTAACTCCAGTTACAGGAAAATCCAATGCCCTCTTCTGACCTCTGGAGACACTGCACAACACAGGTGCACTTACACACATGCAGGCAATACACTCATACACGGGGGAAAAAATATATATATATAAATATATATATATTTATATTTGTTTTGGTCTTTTTGAGACAGGGTCTCCCTGTAGCCCCAGCTGTCCTGGAACTCACTATGTAGACCAGGCTGGTCTTGAACTCACAGAGATCCGCCTGCCTCTGCCTCCCAAGTGCTGGGACTAAAGGCGTGCGCCACCATGCCCGGCAGAAAATATTTTTTTAAAAGAGGAATTTCTGATTCTTAGGATTATGAACTCCATAAACCCTGAGAACATCTTCTGAATTTCTTGCCTTAGCCATTACTCTCCCTGTTAGCTATCATTAAAAGATTAATTGGTAGCTCTATAATTGAGTGCTAGCTCTATATTAACAGCCAGGAATGTTGGCACAGAGGCAGGAAGATCTCTGTAAGATTAAGGCCAGCCTGGTGTACATAGCGAGTTCCAGGCCAACCAGGGCTGCCCAGTGAGTCATGTCGCAGAGAGACCAAAAAGTGCTAGCTGTGTGTCTTAGGCCTGGTGCTCTTTGGTACGTTAACCTAGAATAGGAATCAGTAAACATCACTTCAGGAAGCAACAGGCTACTCTCGTTTTTGTAAATAAAGCTTTATTGAAGTAAAGTAACCAAGCCCATCTGTCTGTGGCTATGTTCAGATCACGAAAGCCATGGTAAGTCATTGCAGCCCCCATTATATGGCCCAGAAAGCAATTTGCTAAACCTAATCTCTGCTTAGAAGACTGAGGCAGACTAAAACAAATTACACCATATAGGTTCTTTGTAAATGCTAAGTTTTTTTAATATATATTTTTTATTTACTATTTTTATTTTATATATATGAGTGTCTCCAGTCCCATAAATGCTAAGATTTTCTTAAAGGCATATTAATAGGGAGCTGGAGAGATGACTTAGTGGTTAAGAGCATGGGTTGGGGGCTGGAGAGATGGCTCAGCAGTTAAAAGCACTAACTGCTCTTGCAGAGGACCCGGGTTTGATTCCCAGCACCCACATGGCAGCTACGAACCATCTTTAACTCCAGTTCCATGGGAATCCAAAGCCCTCTTCTGACCTCCTTGGCATTGCACAACATGGGTGCACTCACATACATGCAGGCAATACACTCATACACATTAAAAAAAAAAAAAAAAAGTACAGGTTGGTCTTGCAGAAGACCTAGGTTCAAATACCAGCACCCACATGGCAGCTAACCACCATTGGTAACTCCAGTTCCAGGAGATCCGATGCCCTCTTCTGTCTGAGGGCATTGCACAGCACAGGTGCACTTATGCATGTGCAGGCATAACACTCATACACAAAATACATAAAAGGTATATTCGTAGAGTTGCATAATGTACAATTAAAAAAATTTTTTTATTTCCAACATAATATTGCCTGCACATATGTAAGTGCACCCATGTCATGCAATAGCCACACAGGTCAGAAGAGGGCATCAGATGCCCTGGAACAGTAGTTAGGGATGGTTGTTAGCTGCCATGTGGGTAGCTGGGAATTGAACCCAGGTCCTCTCCAAGAGCAGTCAGTGTTCTTAACTGCTAAGCCATCTCTTCAGCCACATAATGTACAATTTTTACAAGTTAGCAAACTGCTTTGTGGGCATCTGGCTTGGAATTTTCTACTTGGATTTCAACACTGTGCCCTCAGGCTAGTAAATGACACTTTCACATTGTTAATGTCAAGGTTTTCCTTTGTAAGCCTGGGAGTATCCTTTGGAGGAAGTTCATACTAAGACATGCCTCATCTTTCTTTTAGCCAGATATGCAGTACCGAAATTTATGTGCAGCTGAATATCCTCATCAGGCCCGACCTGGCAGGGGGTTTGCAGGTACACATGGGGCTGCTGTTATTTACTACTCTGTAGATATGTGAGACCCTGCTTTTGTCTTTTTTAATGATTCCTACACATCTCTTCCTTTCCTCCAGATTTGTCTTAGGTAGAGTGTCTTACATCTATGTAAATCACTTCAGCTTCACTTTGGAAAATGGGTTGTAACAAAAAAGCCAACTGCTCAAAGCCAAAAAGTTCCAAATTTCTACTATTTTTTCATACTATATAAATTAATCTTTCACTACTAAGGTAAATTCATTTTTTAAAAAAAAAAAACAAAAATTTGAGGGGCTGGAGAGATGGTTCAGTGGTTAAGAGCACTTGCTGCTCTTCCAGAGGACCTGGGTTGAGTTCTGAGCACCTATGTCAGGTCACTTACAACCACGTGTAACTACAGCTCAATGGGATCCAATACCCTCTTCTGTTTTTTAGACATCTGCACACATGGTAGACAGACATATAAAGAAAATCCTATACACTAAAAATTTGAACCAAATAAATTGTGCAACATTCACATTTAAGAACACAGCCTAGCCAGGCATGGTGGTGCACGCCTTTAATCCCAGCACTCGAGAGGTAGAAGCAGGCAGATCTTTGTGAGTTTGAGGCCAGCCTGGTCTATATAGTGAGTTCCAGGACAGCTGGGGCTACTGGGAGAACCTATCTCAAAAAAAAATTTTTTTAATATTTAAAAAAAGAAAAAAAAGAACACAGCCTAGATTTGTTATTGTTCTATATTTATTAACTCATGTTCTTATGGAATAAGCAGCTTTGGTCAGTTCACCTGTTATAGTCAAGGTAAGTTTCAAAAAACTCCAAAATACCAGGAAAATCTGAGTCTAATTTTATCTCATTACTTTAAAATCTCTAAACTATGTAAATTGTATTTACAAGAGTGATGGGAAAAGGTGGGCACTGTAGCACACATCTGTAATCCAATCTGCAGGCTGAGGCAAGAAGTTTACTGCTAATTCAAGAGCCTGTCTCAAAGATGTCTTCTCTCCCCATGACAGTCTTCCCTCCACGTTATCATCAGTCATTTCCTCTATGCTATAGGTGAAATTTTAAAATGGACAGTTTAATGTCTTTATTAATGATAAATCAGTAAACACAGCAAAAACTAATCTTCCTCAAGGCACCTGGCAGTCTGTGACTTTTTAGTTCAGATCCTAGGAACTGTTTGTTGTCAGCACCCTCATCAGCCTGCAGAAGAGAACACCTCTGAGCTAGTTACTACATTCAGCCCCACTTCCCTCAGATTTCAACTTGTTTTAACACTTAGAGAAATATACATCTAGTTTTTAAAGAGTGGTCTCTTAAGACTAGGTTACTGCTTTCATTTCTGTAAGACTAAGTTATTTTCCTTTTCTTTGGTAGGATAAGATATTTAAGTATGGGTTTTGGTGCCCTGGCAAATGTATACTTTTCAATACTTAAAGCCTTTTTTTTTTTTTTTTTTTCAAATAAAGACAAGGTCGCCCTGTAGCCCCAGCTGGCCTGGAACTCACAGATCTGCCTGCCTCTGCCTTCTCGAGTGCTAGGATAAGATGTGCACTACCACAATACTTAAGCCATGTACCAAATTTAAAATCCAACTAATTTATACAAAAAAGCCCTAAGTTATGAACTTTGGTATTTACTAACAAATGTAGACCAGTTACTTATGTTTCTTTATGTCATCCCTGTCTGACAGGTCCTCTGTTACACAGCTCTGCAAAACCCCAAAGCAGAGGTGGACCAGTCTCTAGAACCAGGCAGTGACTGTAGGGCAAATGAGAAGAACCCATTAGGCTGCGGTGGACAGAACACATGGAGGATTTTATGAATCAGTGCTCAGTCATCAAATGATGCAAAGCGTGTACAAAAGATCAGCTTGAATACATTTTTGAAGAGTTATTTTGGTACAACTATCTGAGAAAAAAATACTAGAGTATCTGCCAAATACTGCACAGGCAACTGGTTGTGTGTCCAGTTCTTAATTTCATTCAGTGTAAGCTAACCTATACCACTGGGCAGTAAAGAATGTACCCAAAGATGTAACAATGAGTAATTACCCCCAAATCATTGTTCATGTTGTCTGTTAAGAATCATCAATTTCTGTGAGATTCAGTGAGATTATACATACACTAATGATGATTTGATATCACTGGCTTCAGAATATTTCTGATTATATTAATTTCTGGAGAACTACACTCAGTTTTAACTTTTTTTCCCCTCCACATTTTTTTTTTTTTTCATTACAGCTTTAACATATTCTAACTTACTTTTAGGAGAAAGTGCTGCCAACAGTCTGAGCTATTCATGAAATATGTGTCATTCCTAAAGCTTTCTTTTTAAAAAAGTTAAATTACATTGTAATTTATTTTGGTGTGTGTGCATGTGTGGGTAGGAGTGGGCATGTGAAGGTCAGAAGGTTTCAGGAGTTGGCTCTCTCCCTCTACCATATGGGTCAAGGGGACTGAACTCAGGTTGTCAGGCTCAGTGGCAGGTACCTTTACCTGCTCAGGAGCCAAGCTTTCTCTTTAAATTTTCAAACTTAGCAGGGTGAAATGGAAGGGCTAAGTAAGAATGTAAGAACTGGTATAAAGTAACATTTAAAAAACAAACAAACAAAAAAAGTTTATTTGTTCCTAGAAAGGAATGCACAACTTTACATGCCTGGTTGATACCAGATACCCTTGTGTGTGCATGTACACGTATGGAGGCCAGAGCTTGTCTTTCCTAATTGTTGCTCCATCTTATTTTTTGAGACAGGGTCTCTCACTGAACATGGAGCTAGACTAAACCCCAGGGCTCCTCCTGTCTCCACCTTCCCAGCACTGGACTTAAAAGCATGTACCATGATAATAGGCTTTCTAGAAATTTATTCTGTGAGCTTTTGTGTGTGTGTGTGTGTGTGTGTGTGTGTGTGTTTTGCCTGCATGTAAGTACACCGGGTTGTACAATACCCATGGAGGCTAGAAGAGGGTGTTGGATGCCCTTGAAATAGTTAGATGGTTGTTAACTGCCATATGGGTACTGGGAACTGAACTCAGATCCTCAGCAAGTGTTCTTAACCCCTGAGCCATCTCTCCAGCCCCCATGCCAGGTCTTTTTTATTTTTTTTAATTTTTATTTTATGTGTATGAGTGTATTGCCTGCATGTATGTGAGTGTACCCGTGTACTGCAATTCTGCGGCGGTCAAAAGAGGGCTTCGGATTCCCCTAGAACTGGAGTTAAGGATGGTTCGTAGCCGCCACGTGGGTCCATGCCAGGCTTTTTACATACGTGTTGGGGATCTGATCCCAGGTCCTTGGGCTTGTGTCACAAGCATCTTATTGAAAGAGCCATTTCCCCAGCCCCATAATTTCTTCTTAAAAATACTTTATTGGTCGCATTTTCCTCCCAAATATTTAACTTACCTTGCCAAATTTTCTTCTGAAACTCTAAGAAAGTTATAATTAAAAAACAATTTAGCTAGGTGTGGTGGCACACACCTTTAATCCCAGCACTAAGGAGGCAGAGACAGGAGACTGAGAGATTAGAGGCCAGCCTGGTCCACATATCCAGTTGTAGGCCAGCTAGGGATACTGGAGATCCTGTCTCAAAAAATGAAAAAAAAAAAAAGGAATTCACTGAAGGGGCTGGAGACATGGCTCAGGAGTGGATTTTCCAGCACCCATGTGGGGTGGCTCACAACTGCCTGTAACTCTGGCTCCAGGGGGATCTGATGTTTCTGGCACCTGAACTCACATGCATACAGGCATACATACATATACACACACACTCTCTCATGGAATTAAAAATAAAAATAAATCTTAAAATTTCACTATTACCTTAGTTATCATAACAAATTTGGACATTATTATTAATTTCAGAGTAGATAAAGTCAAATGGTCATTTAGGATGAATTTTTAATTATTCCAAGGTATTCTAATGTTATCAAATGAACACATTAAATTATATTTTTAATACAATTAAAGAGTATTTTTAACTTGATTGTAATCACAAACTAAAAATAATGTGTCTGCCTTAAATTGTAATGCTCCATAGCAAATGGCTTGTTTACTGCAAGGTATTAAATATATTAATCTATAAATCAGTTCAACAGCCCTTAAACTATGCCATATATTCTAGTGAATACATTCCAACTCTAAATATAAATGAAAATCTGTTCTCACAAATCAGTACTGAGTCTGCTAAAACTATCAGATCTACATGGCTTGCCTTTCAAGGTTTTTAGGAGTCAGAAAGTTATCTCTAAGATGCCATTTAGCAAATTCCTTGCCCTTTTTAAGTATGTATCCCTCAAAGCTAGTATAATTTTTTATTTTTTAAAATTCAGGGTATGGGGTTGGGTGGGGTAGCTTAGGATACAGCTCAGTTGGTAGAGTGCTTGCCTAACATGCACAAAACCCTGGCTCAATCTCCAGCAGCGCAGAAATGGGTGTGGCAGTGCACACCTGTAATTCCAGCACATGGAGGTAGAGGCAGAGGACTAGAAGTTCAAGGTTATCCTCAGCTACACAGTGAGTTTCAAGCCAGCCTTCGGATCCATGAAACCCTGTCTCAAAACAAACACAAAAAACTCTGGGTATATTTAATACATACAATCTGATGAATGTGGCTCTCACTCCTTTACAGATAAAGTAAGTTCAAACAAGTTCAGTAAACTGCCTGAGAACACTGAGCAGCTGAAGGACATGACTACATCACCAAACCAGGCTGCTTGTTGCAACACTAACTAGATTATCTATGTCCTCTTTTCTATCTAAAGCACCATTTTTTTTCCTAGATCAAAAGGGGGGGTCATTTAAAAATCCACCAGACCTTTTAATTTTTTATTTAGCCATATACAAGACTTATAAAAAGGTTTGAAGGAATATGAACACCCATTTCTCCTGTATTTCAAGGATAAGAGTACAAAACTGAACGAAAAAGAGAGGGTCTATTTAGGATTATTAAGACCAAAGCAAGTTAAAGATTTAAAGAGCTGTTCAGCAAGTGTTCTGGGGTGTTCCCAAGAGGCAGAGTATGTCTTCTAATGGATATACAGGCAGCAAAAGCAGTGCACAGAGACCAACACCCAAAATAAAGCTCCCTTGGGCAGAAGGCCCACGGAAGCAAGTGCTGTCAAGTATTCTACCCTTCCAACTATCACTACCACATTCCTTCACATGAGGACCTCACACAGTGTAGGTGAGTTCTAAGAAATATTAAGATCAGATTAAGAGATCCTACTTGGTTTAGTTGATCTGAGTAATTTAGGCAGAAAAGACAACTTCTCTCAAAGGTTAGATTAACTGTAATCTTCACCTTGTCTACCAGGGCACAAGGAATACCTAAGGATCATTGAAGAGAAAAATCTCATCATTTCTTTTCTTTCTTGAGAGCCGTTTTTTTCCCTCCTTTGGAAGGTTTGCAGTATTTTGCTTCCATCTGAGCCAGAAAACTGTCCATTTCCTTCTGCCGGTCCTTTTGTCTGCTCTGTTTGAGTAATTAAAACACAGCTTTCAATATGCAGTATTGTCCACTGAGTCAGAAAGCACTTCATGGTTACAAGGGGAAGACTGTGGAATGACTGACAGGCATGGGGCTTCCTTTGCAGTGGTAACAGTACTACAGAATTGGTGATGACAGCTGTACAATGTGGAGGGTCTAGGTTTAAAAAGACTCAATTGTACATTCTCAAAAACCAAATAGATTGTATGGGTTTGTATAGGTTCATCTTAAATGAAAAAGTAAAATTCAACACCACAAACACACTGCAAACAGTAGTAAGAGACCATGAAGGACACCTGTCATGTTTACCTGAATGAGTGCTTTCAAGTTACCCACTCCTTCCTCAAGCCCCAACTCCTTCCTGCTCAGCTCTGCTTCTTTAGCTTCTTGCTGAGCCTGAAATAGAAACTTTCATGAGACTTGTGGCAACCAAGAAATAACTGAAATACACCACTTTCTCCCTAAAGCAAATCTGTTAAGACCTTTTTAAAATGTAAAGATACAGTGCTGGAGAGGTGGCTCAGTGGTTAAGAACACTGACTGCTCTTACAGAGGACCTGGGTTCGATTCCCAGCACCCACATGGTGGCTAACCACCATCCATAACTCCAGTTCCAGGGGAATCTGACATTTTCTTCTGACCTCCGCAGGCACTGCACAACAGGGGTGCACTTACATGCAGGCAATACATTCATACATATGAAATTAAAAAATTAAAAAATCTGGATATATGAATGGAATGAATAAAACTACGTGTCATTCAAGAGGCAACAAACACTGTCAGAACAAGCAGCAGATCCACTGACTGCAATACGCTTTTCTGTTTTACCTTTAATTCTACTTACTAGAGTTAGCAAGTATTTTGGCGTGCCAAACCATGTGATAAAAGGAAAGCAACATGCTAGGAAAACAGGAAAGAGTCATGTAACCAAGGACAACTTCAAGAGATGCCAGAGCAGACACTTCAGGGTCTTCATCTGAAAACCCAATTTTAAATACTACTTTTTTGTTTTATGTATTAGGGTGTATTGTCTGCATGTGAGCTAGTACCCTTGTGTCATGCAATGCCCATGGAGGTCAGAAGAGGGCATCGGATTCCCCTGGCCCTGGAGTTACAGACAGTTGTGAGCTCCCATGTGGGTGCTGGGAATTGAACCCAGGTCCTCTACAAGAGCAGCCAGTGCTCTTAACAGCTGAGCCATCTCTCCAGCACCTGAAAACCCAATTTTATACATAGTACTGGTGGCAGCCTTGTAAACTATGAGGGTTTAAAATGCTTTCTTGAGCAGGGCATGGTGACGCACGGCTCTAGTCCTAGCACTTGGGAGGCAGAGGTAGGCTCATCTCTGTGAGTTTGAGGCCAGCCTGGTCTACATAGTGAGTTCCAGGATAGCTGGGGCTACAGGGAGACCCTGACTCAAAAACACACACACACAAAAAAAGGCTTTCTCCTGAGTAGTCAGAAAAACATTAACAAATTCAGTTTTAGCCTTTCTTTACTTAATTTCAAAACTTCCTTCATCTACCAAATCTTCCAGAATACCAAAGACCTAAAGGAATCAACTGTGACTAAGTGGCCCCCTAACTCCTTGTAAATTGTCAAGAGTAGCAAAGAATGCCATTAATACTGGGAACTATTCCAGTAAAAAATATTAGTTTCATTATCTCTTAAAATTCAGTATCCTTGTATCCCCCACATTGATTAGACAACCTCAAAACTGTCATTTTCCCTTCAAACTCTACGGAGGACTCCCAAACTAAAAGCCTTTTACCGGATACAGCTGTGTTCAATTTGCCTGAGCAAATGATTAATAAGCCCGAATATAAGTAGATGTAGTCCATGAAGCAAAATGGCACAGTATCTATTCCACTTCAGTAGAGATGGCTATGGCCTTTTACTTAAGCAAAACAAGCCCTTAAAATGTTTACCCCCCCCCCTTAATCCCAGCACTCTGGAGGCAGAGGCAGGCTGATCTCTGTGAGGTCAAGGCCAGACTGGTCTACATAGTGAGTTTCAGGCCAGCTGGGACTAGAGGGACACCCCCCTCCCCAACAGCACCAAAAAAGTCTCCTAGGGCAAGGCACAGTCCCCCCCTTAATCCCAGCACTCTGGAGGCAGAGGCAGGCTGATCTCTGTGAGTTCAAGGCCAGCCTGGTCTACATAGTGAGTTCCAGGCCAGCTGGGACTACAGGGAGACCCCCGTCTCAAAAAGACCAAAAAAAGAAAAAAAAAATTTTTAACCCCAAACACAAAGGTCAAAGGTCAGTTTTTTCCTTGGCATGATGTCTTGTATCTAAAAGCTCCAAATCTTTACCCACTTACTTAAGCCACACAAAAGACATCTCAAGTACTCACTAGGTAGCTAAACCCTTAAATTGTCTTAATTGTTCAGGGAGCTCCAATTGGGAAAGCCAAGATGAAGTAATGGCTACTTTGATAGCATTCCACAGTAACTTTTACACAGACCAGAGACACCAACGTTGGCTCCTCGAATCCACTTTCTCACTGAACTCCACAAGCACCTTTCCTCCACTTCCATCCCCCACCCACCCTGGCTTAATATGAGTATAAAGGCATGCAGGTCCAAATCCTCAATTCTTGACAATCAAGTGTTCTTTGCAGGGTGGTCAGAAAGACATGCATCTCAAAGTGTGCTTTAAGGAAAGAAAAAAGATAGGGGCTAGAGAGACGGCTCATCAGTTAAAAGCTTGCTGCTCTTCCAAAAGACCCGAGTTCAGTTCCCAGTACCTAGGCTGGTTGGCTCACAATTCCAGCTCTAGAGAAACTGAAATCTTCCTGTGGCTTCTGTGGGCACTGACATATATGTGACCTACAGACATACACATAAATAAATCTTTAAAAAATAAGAAAAAGGGGGGCTGGAGAGATGGCTCAGCCGTTGAAAGCACTAACTGCTCTTGCAGAGGACTCGGGTTCTATTCCCAGCACCCACAGTGGGGCTAACAACCATCCGTAATTCCAGTTCAGGGGATACATGTCTTCTGACCTCCGGGAGCATTGCACATGGGTGTTCTTAATACGTGCAGGCAACACACTCATACACATAAAATAAAAATAATTTTTTAAAT